TTAGTGGGTTGTCTTGGACCACGGTTCAGCGAATTTTAACCGAAGATTTGGGAATGAAAAGAGTTGCTGCCAAGTTTGTTCCTCGTGTTCTGAAACCGATCCACTGTCCACTGTCTCCCCGTCCAAAAAAATGTCGTCAGGTCAAATCAAACATCAAAACGATTCTGATTTGCTTTTTCGACATCAACGGTGTAGTTCACGCAGAGTTCGTTCCACCAGGTGAGACCGTTAATCAAGCTTTTTATCTGGAAGTTTTAAGAAGATTGCGCAACAATATTCGACAAAAAAGACCCAATTTGTAGCGGACAGGGGACTGGTTCTTTCACCACGATAACGCACCTGCACACACAGCCATTTCTGTTAAGCAGTTTGCCCCATGCACCTTACTCGCCTGATCTCGCTCCGTGTGACTTCTTATTTCCACGTATGAAAAGGGACATGAAAGGACAGCGATTTGACAACATTGAAGAGGTCAAGAAAAAAAACGAGGGATGAGCTGTCGGCTATAGCCAAAGATGAATATAAAAAATGTTTTGAACAGTGGAAGCACCGCTGGGACAAATGTATGAGTTGTAATGGAGAGTATTTTGAAGGGGATAAGGTCGTTCTGTGATTTTCAAAACAATATATAGTTTACAAAAAATGATTCCGGTTTTTTTTTGGGTACCCCCTCGTATACTATAAGCAGAGCTATAAAAGCGGCCGGAGACTTGTTTGTACCTAGTCAGAATATTCCCATAATTAAACTGGCAAGAAAAAGGCATCCTTATATTGTTACAGAAATGAACTACGATGATTTTGTAAACTATAAAAAACTTTAGCAGGATTTAAGAATCCCTATCTTGAGAAGTGCGCAAAAATCATAAGAGTGACGTAAACTGGACCAAAATACTTTGCAACACTGCGAATAATTTTAGTGCCATAGAATTGTTTAAACTAACGGTTGACAAGTTAAATAAGGGACTTCAAAAAGTTCCTGAAAAAAAAATTAATTCTTTGATATAATTATGTCAGAGAGTCAACCCCGTTATACGTGTTCGTGAATATCGATAACATTATACAAATTTACCACACTAAAGCAGTTAAGTTTTTTTGGTCTGGTTATAATAAATGTTTATGTCTAAGTTTTATTGTTTTTTTTTTGTTAGGATTAGAATAAGTTATGGCTTTTAAAGGTAAAGTTTACAAGTGTTTTTTATTTGTTTATCTACAACCATTTAATAATAGACGCATAATACTTCTGACAGTGAGAGTATTATGCTACGCATAATACAACAAGTGTAATTATATCATAAAAAAACAAGTATAATTATATCATAAAACAACAAGTGTAATAAAATATTCTGGAATTCTTAATAATCCGGGCTTCAATTAATCGGCGCAGAATTCACACATTTCATTTATTATTTTTATGAAAATTTACTATAAAGTTACCCATATTAAAGTCATACACACGTTACCAATTCAATTCTATTATTCAAAAACAGTTCAAAAAATACAAACCAATATGACAATAATTAAAAAGAATTAGTAGGCCGTGCAGGCTAAATCTGACAGCGCGCAGCGGGTATCCATAGCGACAGCTTACCCGACGCGACGCTCATCGTGAATACAAACATTTTCTTTCATGAAATAATAATTGTAAAGTAAATAATATTCATATAGAGAAGCTTTAAAATTTCGCCTTGCAATTAAAACATAAGATTTAATAAAAATGGATTCTGAAAACGAAGTACTAACACCCCCGGAAATTCGAGCGGCAGCGGAAGCTGCGTCTCTGGATTTACTTCCCAAGAAATCAAGAAACAATTATGAAATTGCCTACAACAATTTCATGGATTGGCGATCAAGAAACAAGGCCACCTCCTTCTCTGAAGATACATTATTAGTGTATTTCAAAGAATTGGCTAAAAAGTATAAGTCGTCCTCCTTGTGGACGTTTTATTCCATGCTGAAAAGCACACTTTATATTAAACACAATGTCAAGATCGACCACTACGCGAAGCTACATGCTTTATTAAAAAGACAATCAGAAGGCTATCAACCCAAAAAATCTAAGGCATTTACCGGACAGGAAATAAATAAATTTATTTATGAAGCTCCTGATACAAAATATTTGGCTACAAAGGTAAGGAATGATAAGACGTTACATACCTACGGTATTTACCAAGAGGTGTTAATTTTTTAGGTTGCATTAATTATGGGAGTGATGGGTGCATGCCGCTCAAATGAACTACATGCAATGAAAATACAACACGTTACATTTTATGAAGGTTGCACTAGAGTAATAGTTCCCGTTACGAAGACCAAGATCCCTAGGAATTTTACTATTACTGAGAAGTTCCATGATATTGTTAAAAAATATGCAAATCTGAGACTGCCAAATGCATCATATTCTTTTTTTATGAATTTTCAAAATGGAAAATGCACAAAACAAGTTATCGGCATTAACAAGTTTGCCAAAATGGGCAGAGAAATTGCAAGTTTCTTACAAATCAAAAACCCAGAAAGATATACCGGGCACTGTCTACGACGATCTTCAGCCACATTGTATGTGGACGCAGGGGCAAGTATGACAGCTCTGAAGCGCCACGGAGGCTGGAAGTCGGCTTCTGTAGCTGAAGGCTATATTGCAGACTCGCAGAAGAACAAGACCGATGCAGCTACTAAAATATTAAGTCAAATCAACCCTAATTGTAATATTAATAACAGTACTTTTGTTTCTACCCCCTCACAATATCCAGGTATGTCTACTATTACGAGCGAATCTTCTCATAACACTTTTTCGATTAGTAAAGACACCACGGACATTAGTATTGGTACTACACCAACTACGATGAATTTCAATAACTGCCCTAATATAACAATCAATTTTATGAAATAGACAGAGTAATACATAATGATCCTATTAAGCGTCAATTTAAAAATAATTGTGTGCTGAAGTGTAAATGTTAATTAAATATTATTAAACTTATTAAATGTTCAATCCAGGACTTTCATTGAATTTATTCCTTATTACATCACAACTCATAACACATAAACATATAACATAAACAGCATACATAAACAGTAACCAGTGTTGATATTGAGTGAATGGTAGAATCTAAAAATGTATGATATTATGTTCCATTTCATATAAAGCAAGTTAACATCCACTTCCGGCCTAACCGGAAGTGCCACCATCTTGAGAATATTCTAGCTGAATTGCTCTGCCATCAGCATTAGCTTCCTACCGAATTTTCAGGTTTCTCCCATGTATAGTTTTTTTTCACAATAAAATGACACATTTCAATTCCGGTGAGGTACCCTATATAAGTGGATGGTTGTAGATAAAGTATAGTATTTGACTCGAGTATTATGGACCATAATAAACTCAGATGATTATAACACTCGCCGCAAGCGGCTCGTTTTATAAATCATCCTCGTTTATTATGGCCTTCATAATACGCTCGTTAAATAATATACTATTATTTAGTAATTAAATATGGATTTGTTGCCAAATTTAGATTGTATAGGCCTTATTACATAAAACTTATCCTGTGTTTTGTCAAGGCGAATGTATTTTTGAAAATAAATATACCTTCTCAAAAAGGCGAATGTTTATTTTAATAGGTTAGGAAAAACACAATATTTTACTACTAGAATAATTAAAAAATATCACCCCAGAAGCCCCCTGTTTAAATTATATAATTTCGTCTTCAATAACATAGTCAATATGTGGGTTTAAGTAACCACTAAAACTTCTGACAACTTTCCTGAAAACCAAGGAAAACTTATATTCGCCCCTTCGTGAATTTGGAGATGTATGTATGTATGTATAAATACTTTTTGATAAAACATAATTCACCTTCCTGTTTGAACACCTCCTACATAAAGGTTAAGGTAAAGTAAAAATGTTGAGATAAAATTTGTACCCGAGCGTAAATTTGTTTGAGACCGGACATGACTGTTGCCCGAGACCAACAATGACACGGCTGACAACGGTGCTCTCCATAAGACTCCACACTGTATGTATGTAAAAAAATATGCAATTGTTTGAAAATTCGGTATCCAAACCAGAGTAATTTCACGATAATGATCTATTCAATGAGGAAGGGGTTTATGCTCCCAATGAGTTTAAAGAAGAGAGTAGCTACGAAAATGAAACGGAAGAGATAGAAATATAAATATTGAAGATGAAGTTGCTCATGTGGTGCGCGTTTTTAACTTAGATAATACAAATTCAGATTAAATAAACGTCAACTCAAATTCTTGTTTCGCGGTTTAAAAAAAAGCAGATAAAATATTTGATATGTTGATACCGTCTACCAGACATAAACATATGATAAATTGTCGTGAACTATTAAACATAATTTCCTAAAAGCGCAGTAAAATTTTACAATGTTTTTTTCTTTTTTGAATTAACAATCGTATCGTGATGTACTGTACGTGAAATTTTTCAGGGTAAGACCGATTCAGATTCTGAACAGACCACTGACGCCTCATCTTGGATCTTGGACATCATAAATATATATTTATACACAGGGCTGTCAGAAAACTGCGGGCTCGGCAACACTGTTCGGAAACTAGGCTTGCGCGGCCGAACAAGGTGGTTATAAGCAGTGCTAGTATAGCCAGTTTACGACTGTGGTTATTTAGCCATGGCAGCCCGTACTTCAGTAGAGTAAAAAAGAACGGATCTTTCGGGCGACTTTATCTGCGACACCAGATTACGAGACAATCTTCGATGAATTCCAGGTGCAGTTTCCTAACCGGCGAGTTCCCAGTAGACAGATGATATACAGTTAAACAAGAAGTTTCAAGAAAATAGGTCAATGTTAGATGCCCTGCATAATGGTCGCTCTCTAACGGTAGTGCCCAAACGCTTGTCGAGACACCCAACCAGTCTGCAGTTCGCACAGCGCTTCAGTTAGCATGTCGGAGCGTAGTTTACGTCGCGTGTTGAAAATACTAAAATAACAGGTGTTATCGTCTTCGTTTGATACATGCGCTAACGGAAGAAGATCCTGATCGTAGACTGGAATTTTGCGAGTGGTTTTCTGCTTGGTTAGATAACCCCAAGCCACACACACCAATAGTGACTCCCCAGCGAGAAACCAAGATGGTGCTAACTAGTCAAATGAAAAAAAAATCATCATTGTTAGCACCCACTTAAACCGCCGACTCACAAGAGAAATTTTTATATATTTTTTTAGCTCCATTTGGGACGCAGACTCTCCCTCTGATGGCAGCAGCAACTCTGAACATCCACAACCACAATCGTGTCGAAGCAATCCAGTAGGAGGAGTTCTTCCAATCCGACCCGAAGAATCACAACCACCCAAAAGTAAAAAGACATATATGCTATGAAATATTTAGATATCTCAGACTGTATATTGACATAAGCCCTGCAATCTTTGCTTTTAGATATTAGTTGTAAGACCACTTCGAAAACACTCTTGAAAATATTGTACTGTGTACATAATTCAAGCATTAAACGCAACGTAACGTAAAAAAAGAAAACGATGAAAGCAGAACGAAGAAATGGAATTCAACTTAACTCTAAAGAGATGGATGGAAATCTTCCTTGCAAGTGCCCCATCAAGTTACGATTTCATTGATCATCTAGTGCCCTGGAGATCTGGACATTCGAGAAGTAACGTATTTGGTATTGTTGAATGGATACTTTTTGAATTTGGTTATTGTTCAGTATTTTCAACCCACGCCAATTTATTGTGCATATGATGTTGCACACCATTGTCTCTTCCTTTGCCAATTTCATATTATATATTATTAAATTTTTACTGTTTTCGACGTCCATGAAGGAAGCTCGACTAGTTCTAGGGATGTCCTCTTGGTGTTACCCTACTCAGTTCAGGTAATGGCACCCTACACTCGTAGTCGGAGCAGTCTTCTGCAGGATTAGACGAATTTTACGAGCGCTTGGATCGCTGACGGACTCGTCATTGCTACCATTTTAACTGCGGGACTTCTTTGTAGAGCCTCGATCGAAGGACTAAAATTTCTTCTGTACGCATCATACTGCCGCAGTTCAGTTTTATTTAAATAGTCGTGTGCGAATCTTGTACAATTTCAAAAAGGCTACTGCTACTGCGTAAATCTCAGCACTTACAAACAAAAGTATACGGGCCACGTGTTGCGCAGGAATGAAAATAGGTCGGCGCGTGCTTGCTAATTAAAGAGCACAAATTCCTAGCGCCATCTCTACATTGCAACACACAATAGAATAATTTTTACTTGGTGTGTCATTAACGACCCCTTGGGCATTAATGGGTTAATACCGTCTACCATTCATCAACGTGTGATAAATGTTCGTGAACTAACAGAATTTTCTACAAGCGCAAGTAAAAAAGATGAAAACAGAATTAGGAAATGGAACTCAACTTAACTCTAAAGAGGTGCACAGTTGTCATGTGTCAATAAAATCTTTGCAAGTGCCCCATCAAGTTACGATTCCAGTAATCCTCTAGTGCCCTGAAGATCTGGACATTCGAAAAGTAAAGTATCTGGTATTATTGAATTGATACTCTTTGAATTTGGTTATTATCGTTCAGCATTTTCAACCCATTGCAATTCATTGCGCGAATGATGTTGCGCATTGCGCACCGATGTCTGTTCCTTTGCCAATTTCATATTATATAGTATTAATTTTTTACTATTTTTTTCCTTTTTTTACTTCTGGGGATGCCCTCTTGATGTTACCCTACTCAGTTCAGGCAACGGCATCCTGCACTCTTAGTCGGAGCAGTCTTCTGGAGGCATGCGACCAATTTTACAAGCGTTTGGATCGCTGACGGACTCGTCATTGCTGTCATTTTAACTGCGGGATTTCGTTATAGAGTCTCGATCAAAGGATTAAAATTTGTTCTGTACGCACCAGACTGCCGCAGTTCAGTTTCCTGCGAATCTTGTACAATTCTAAAAAGAAAAAGCAAATGCAGATAAGAAAACAAATAGAGTGGAAAAGAGAAACGGTGTAAAAAATGGTTGCTGGAAAGAAATATTCAGAACCTTTCGATTCTAAAAGCAATACACCTCTAAGCTTCGCATTGCGTTCAAATATGATCTGCACAACGCACGACAAATCGGGAGGGCCTTTCTACAAAGCTGTGAATAGATACCCTACAGGGAAGTAGTAGGTAAGTAACCAAATAACTGAAACGAAATAATATCGATTTTTATTGAACAATTGACGGTAATCAAAGGGGTAGTCAACACAAACGATTTGTTGGATATTGATTTTTATTGAATTATTTACAAACATTTATACTCACCTATGGATATGCCTGGAATCAAATCTGCTTACATAGATTCGAAGCAGGTGAAAGAATGGTCCGCTTTTGGCTGACTCTGCAGACGCACTTAATTTGGTAAATATACACGATAAGTATCTCAAACATCGATAAATTAAACATTTCAAATTAAATAATTTCTTGATAGATCTTTTTACCTCAGGATGCAGAGATCTACCACTACTAAGCTTGCCCATATTACTCAGTGTATCTCAGAAGTTTTGGACAAAAACCGACAAGGCGATGTTGTATACACAGATATCCAAAAAGATATGATGGTCAGATCAAATGTTTCTAAACTTTGATCGTATTGCTGACTAGTGTGATATTAACTGTGAATCACTGTACGAGGATAATTAAATTTTTCGCTTTTTTTATTATAACTAAACGATTTTCATTATTGGTCAGGCATTAATTATAATTAGTGCTGCAAATAAAGCAATTTTATTATTATAACTACCGTTTTATCGTAATTTGCCAATTAAAGAATCCCTGATTACTATGCCTAAAGAAAAATACCTAAATTACAATCTGGCCGCAGCGACATAAAAATCTGAGAAATATCACACTATATCATACTAGCATAAATACGCAAAATCTTCGCATTTATTGATATCAATCATCCAAAAATAATTGCAAAAAAAGCTTGACCGGAGTTGAAAACCTTTACCATATGTTCCACAAACAACAACATTTATCAGAACTTCATAATATGAACATTTTTTTTCTATGTATATGTAAAATAAATCAGACTGGTCAGAAATAAAAAATAATTTCTCAAACTAATACTAACGCAACTGGAGTTGATGACACTCTCCTAGTCCGTAGTTCTTTTACCCTTGCGAATTATAAATAATTTGAAATGCATACGAACAAGGACCTCAAAAATTTTAATAAGCGAACTCAAGATTTCAACTTGACCAAATAAAACGTAACTCATGGTCTTTTGCTACGATAACAATGTAAATTTTCTAAAAGTTTACATATTGTCACCAGTTGTTCGCTTATAATTTTATATTTTAAACTATATAACCCTGAAAAACAGCAGCAAAAAGGACAAACACACTTTTAAAAATGAAATAAACAAAAAATAAAGAAACCAGAAAAGAGTGCCGGTCATTTAATTTTTTGGTTTGTTTCTTAATAAAAATCACTTTAACAAAATCGGTCCGCATAGTTTGGTTAAAGCTGCATACCAACTGTAACGTTAATTAACAAATTAGTGTCAAAAAAGGGTTTTTGGCAATTTAGCGACAAATCATTTTTTTTTATCTTTCCAATGATTTACATGAATTACTTATCAATAACTTATGATATACAATTTAGGTCAGCTCTTTGGCAATTTGACCGTATTAAATTGAATTAAATAACTTAGTGGGTAACTTAGGTAAATAAGAAAAAGGTAAATCTGGTATACTATACATGGTATTTCAAAAAACATGCCCCGATTTTCGGCTGCACATTCATTCATAAGTTCATATAAATCTAGATCACAAGAGCTTAACTTCCAAGATTACCACGGTCTTCAAAATTTTATAAACAAACACGTACGAAAATCCTTCCTTCATACAGAAGTCATTTTATTGTTTTTAGAAATTAATAAATGACAGAACTCGGGCAAAATATATCAATTTATGCTGTAATAGAAATTAAAAAAAAATCCAAGGGATTATATTTTTGAATGTGACAACAGGATTAATTGAAGATTGAAATTAAAAAAAATTATTTGACGCAAAATTATTTTTTTCTAGTTATAGTGCTCCATTACTTTATCGCAGAAATGTGAGAGTTAAGAGAGCCAAACAAAGCATAGAAAACATTAGTGGTTCAGAACATTCTGATCAGCTGTACACTGGAAAATATTTGTTTTAGTTAGAGTTATTTACAACTCTTGTGAATTCTGAACGAATCGAACTTTCTGACGATTCGCCAATCAACCTATTGGTTTCTTCAGAACTTAACTGAGTTAAGCTTCTTCCGACCTATTGAGTTACTACTATTATGTACTAACCGAGTTAACCTCTGAAAAAGCCAAGCGGCCGATTGGCGAAACGTCAGCCAAAAAAATAAATAAATAATAAAATAAGATAAATATTTCCGTCTAACACCTCGAGATATTTAAGCTGATTATTCACTTAATATACTTTACAATAATAGGTACTAAAAGTTTTATAAACACGTAGGTTAAGACATCAACAAAAGTTAAAAAAATAATTAACTTATCTAACGCTTAACACGTTTGCAATTGATAAGGGGTGGTGGGGCATCTGACCGAAACAAAAAGAATAAATTCGACAATCTCAGGATTGCTACTAAATCATTGTCTACCACAATCAAGCAAACCTATTCAAAGCTATTTTAACGACTTAAGTTCCGTTAATACCTAAGATTTTTATGTTTGACTACATGCTTGCAATTAAACTGATGGTTCCCATTTTCATCATTTTCTTAATTTTTTAGGACATTTGCTGAAATGTTTTGGCAATTTTCCTGATTATTATTTTTTCGAACAGTTCGAGTCAAAAAAGTTGACACTTTTAGCGGTTTATTCAAGGTAAATAAGAAAAATTGTAAAAATGTAGATAGAGCACAGTTGACAATACAATCAGCACACCTAACGGGCAGCACTGGACTCCACAATTTCAATCTAATGGAAGCAAACTTGGCTTTTTACCATTATAAACAATGTTGCAAAAACCGGTCAAAAATATTTTAAAAGTTGTAAGAGATAATTTTTTTAACATTTAACACCCCGCATTTTGGAAACTAAGCATTTGCGGACCTAGGTTTATAAAGACAATCTTTTTTTTTTCTTCATTCCAGGATAACCAATCTATTAAAATTACGGAGAATAACAATAGCAAAGATCGACAACAATGCAAAAAGACTTACCTAAACCACTTGTCTGCACTCTTGGAACGGACGAAAGATCTATTCGTAGTCATGAAAAGTATCTGAACGGGTCGTGGAAATTGCTATTGTCTTCAACTAAAAAAAACATGTTTTTGTAAACAAATCATTGATACCAAATCAAGTAAATTTATATAATGCTAAAAGAACAAAGTAATAATGATAATCCCCAAAATATTTAAAATGCGAAATTATTTCGAGTTCTATTTTTTTACTGGTATTATAAGTTTGGAAAAACATATCGAATTTCAGTTTTTACTGGCGTATTAAACTTTTATTAGTCTGTCTTTTCTTGCAATATATAATTATGTTTAGAAAATTCATTTTATTTGTCGGAAACGCTATCTAGAAGTTATACAAGCAATCTAATTCAATTCGCTTAACCCTTTTCGGCTTAGCGTACTCGTAGTGAAGCCACAGTCAATTTAGTTTAAAGCGCCTGGGGACACTTAGTGACTGTATACTGTAGTTATGCACCACCGTTATATACCTGTTTTGTAATTAACGATTATTTGATATCTTTTACAAGGGAACTATGATCTTCTATTTGTGTAAATGAAAATAGTTTTGTTAAGTTTGAATGCGAACTAATTATTTGATTTTATTGAAGAGTTCCCTGACGACAATACTAGTAAGTAGTATTTGGCAATAAAATGTCGGACAAAACAGTAAATATCGTGCACCAGTTAAGGCACCATGAAAAAAAAACAGGTTCAAAAATTCGCCTTCCTATCACTCCTGCCCAAACATTAAAAGAAAGTATCAGGTATCAAACAGCCAATCACAATATCGTCTTCTTAAAAAGTCAGCTTCATGAAGATGTTGATGCACGTTATACTTAAAAGAATGATAGCCGTGTTTTTTTTTTTTAATTCTTCTCACAGATTATTTTGAGATGTCGAATTCTAATGTCATTTCTCTTAGCGACGCAGCTATATTTAAGTTGACGTATCCCAAAACATTGATTTCCATTTCTTCACTTAAAATAAAATTATCATGTCGATTATTTTGTGGATTTCTCATTTTCAATTCCAGCTTTCTAAAGAAAGAATCTGCAGGAAGGCGACTTCCCGGATAGCGGTCTGCATAAAATACACGGGCCTGTCTAGTTTTTTCTGCATTCCTCGTATATCAGAAACATATTAAATTTTTCTCCATTTGTAAATTGATTATTGTTTTCCACGATAATCCAAATTGATAGCACGACAAAATCGATAATCAGATAAAAATGTACTGTCAGAACTTTCAAACATGCCGACTTGATGATGAATAGCCATCTAAGTAACATTTTGTTTTTATAAAAATGTATTTACTTATCTGTTTTTTTCCTTCCTGTGAGCTTATTGTTTAACATATTTTGAAAATTTTGGTGTATTTGAAAAAAACTAGATTATCCTAAAAAATTAGTAATGTATTACAATAAATCTGCCATTAGACAAGTAAAGAAAAGTTTCATTTACAATTTCTCCCATTATCAGATGACCCGGTGACAATTTTCAAAAATTAAATAAAAATTTACAATAACAAAAAAAAGAGAAAAACCGTCATTTAAAATTCGAAAGTCACTGTCGTTTCAGCTCAAACCGGAAGTCCAACCATTGACTACATATTGTCAAAAAAAATTATATTTAGCCTTTATTAAAAATTATAGAGTGTTCCCACTTTCTTGTGCCACCCGGTATAGTATCTATAGTACACTAAGTATTCGTCAGAACGCGGTTTTTGCAAGAAAATTTCTGCCGCGGCTGTTTTTTTCTCGATTTATGAATTGTCGTATTTAGTTGGTGATTTGTCAAAGGAGTGAAACTAGTGAGAAATAGAGCATGAGATGAAAACATTTAAATGACTGGAGGAAAAAAATAACATATGCAGTTTTACAGTAGAACAACCAAATAAATCTGGATGTAGAGAGAGATAGTTCAAAGACTTAAAGCACACCATGATATTCCTGATAATAAGCAGCAAGAAACGAATACAGGTAGGTTAATAATATTTTGTTTTATTATTACTTATTTCATTTTTATTTAACTGACCATCTCGTAAAAGGTAGAATTATGGTATTCACAAAAACGTTTTCAAAAGAATCAAGATATTTATTATTCAAAAAGTCTTGTCGTTTTTGTCTTTACTTGTCAAAATTTGAATTCGTGCATATTTTATTTATGTTAATCTTTATAATTTTTAGATACTTAATTATTTTTGTTTTTTACGGTACATAAAAAAAGTATTTAGAATTCACATCTTATAATTTCTTTATCTTAGGAAATAACGCACACGATTTTCAAAGTATTAAAAAAAAATAGTTAGAGCCCCGCAGAAAACTAATATTCTAAACACTGATAAGTTGCAACCAAAATTTCTATTTTTTAAATATTCGACTCGCCGAGCAATAAGAACTTAAACGCTGGTTTGTTCCGCAGATCGCAGATGGATTCACGGAATATGTTAACTTCGGACGTAATGACAGGAAAGAAGAAGAGTGCGGTAACACAGGAAACAATTGAGTAGACTCTGGCAGAGATTGGTAAATTTTGATGACCACTAACAAATTGGAAGAAATTTGCTTGTTTTAATAAACTTATAATTTTAATTTCTATGAAAAATGTAAACAAAGTCGAAATCACGAAAGATGACTTTTAAAAGTCTAAACATAACTTTCTGAGAAGTGCAAAGAATGTTAAAGACTACTGCAGAACCTCCTATAAACCGAACGCTCATTCTTTCACAAGTCTAGTAAGCGGAGTTGAAAGTTTTGGTTAGTTTTGGTTAAAAAATTAGTAGGGATTAGAAAAAACAACCACGAAAGTTCAGAACTATTATAAAACCAGTCCATAAACAATTTGTTTGAACAAAAAAATGGCTATGTCAGTTGGAATAAAACTGCCAAAACTAACCAAAACTAACCCACAGCAAGTCACATTATATGTAGATGCACAATACGCTAAAATTTTATAAATGGAATACTCCCAATGGAAGAAAATGACTTAATTTTTTTTTCATTTAGATATTTGATAACTGTGTATAAGGAAATAAGGAAATCAACCCCAAATATACAAGAAAAGCTTTCAGTTTAAAAAGTCGCTCGACATATTTAGAGCTACAAAGGTCAATAACTTTTGTTTTTAGGTTTTTGTGATATTTTTAACAGTTTCTGAAAAAAGGTCTATTCATATAACAAACCCTGTACATGTACATATAATGTTTTTGATATTTGTTTAGTTTACATTGGAAAAGAAAGTAGAAAAAAAACTGTATTTTCATAATCTGCACTATTATTTTTCAGTTACGGTACAATTTTGGCATACTACGTCCAAAATTAACTAACTGAAACTGAAGCTGAAACTAACAAAAACTAATCAATCCAAATTTATTTCATGTAATCCATTTTATCAAAGAAAAATACAAGAATATATAAAAACCTTTAGACCACAATCAGAGTAGAATGCGAGCCAGTTTCAGTTAAGCTCTGTAGAATCCAACAGAATGATTGGCGAAAAGTCAGCAAGTTCGATTTAACAACAACCGACGTAGGAACCTTCAGAATTCTTTAATAATTTAAGCAAAACCTACAGTCAAGTGTAAGCACAACCATATTTTATAGTTCAGCTGAGAGAAAAGGTTTCCCATCTTCCAATGATATATTTTAATCTGATAAAGAACTTTAATTAATTAAAATAAAACGACATATTTTTTAATATAATTCATTACCTATCAAACGGTGTTAGGATATTTAGAAATGGCGGATAATTAATTGCATTTATTCAATTTGGTCTGGTTCTGCCGTAAAAAATATTTAAATATTTTATGACTGCAATAAACAATGACAAATAAACAAACATGGATAATAATAATTATGGCGTAAAGATTTTTATTAATTTTTTTGTTATTGTAAAGCATTATCATTCCGTGGGAACATACTGAGAGGTGCTCGCTACTTCATCCCCATACTTTTCCTTCAGGAAGAAACAAAAGTTTATACAGGATCAATATTTCGTCAGGCGGAAAGAATTCTACTAAGGCAGTGGGACAGTGACTCCGACATATTTCATATGTAAAAAGAAGATAAAAGAAAGAAAGATTTTAAAAAATTTCCTGAAACTTGAAAGATAATTTGACCAGCGAATTTATCTCCCAACAACCACAGCGCATTTTTTTGACATCATGCAAAATAATCAAATCAGCCTGGACTTCCAAAATAAATCCCTATCCTCAATTAATTTTGTACCAAATAACATTAATCAAGAATCTGGGTTGTTAATAATTTGAGGAAACTTCCACAAGTTAATTTATAAATTTTCTTGCAACTGTTTCAGTTAAGTTCCGAAGAAGCCAATAGGATGAGCGACGAAACGTTAGCAAGTTCGATTCATCAACAACCCACGCTGAAGGAATCGAGAGGATTTGTAAATACTGTCAAGAATATGGAGTTGTACATAGATATGAAAAAATCATATTAAAAATGAAAAGTACTTCAAGAACTTAAGGTAGCTTTCGGAATGTTTGGTACTGTCTATACTTGCTTATCTTAATATTGCATATGGTGCCTTACAAATTTTAATGAATATAGAATAAAGAAGGTGCAGAATGCTTGTGTTCAATATGTTAAGAATCCATCATCAGGTTAAAGAATTTTTCGAGCATAACTTAGCTCACCTATGTTACTTAGCAGAACCGATATTTCAAAGAAGTGCGAACATTCGTTTCAGTGATGCCGCGGCTGGGACAAAGTTTTTCAAAAATCGTTTTTTATACACCTCTGCAGTAACTGATAAGTCAATACCTATTTCCTGTAAAGATTGTAGTATACAAATATTTAAAAAACGTCTGAAAACTGTTATGTCCGATAGATCATTGTTTTCTAGTGATAAGTAGAATTTATCAAATTTTTTGATACCTGTTTATGTTAATGTTATTTTCTGGTTGTGTTTATAAATATTTCTCGGGTAGGATTTTTAAAAATGTTATTTTCATTATCCAGGCTCTAACTACAATTAACTAACTAAGGATGAGATAAAAAGGAGGAAAACCGTTTACTTACATAATAAATTTTTGGAAATGGCGACTATCCACCTTCCTTTTTTGAAACTAGTGCTGACTCTAATACGCATTTATCCGGTGGGGTTGGCTGGAAACGTGTTGTAAAACATAAAAAGAAGTCCAGTGGTGTCCAGAGGGCCAATTATGAAAGTCATGTCTTCCAATGCACCTGTTTTCAAAATTGTCATTTAAAAATTGTGATAATAATAAGGCGCAGCTTCGTCTAGCTTAAGCCACTTCATTGTTCCAAAGTTTAAAGGGCTTTCCTCTAACAATACAGGAAGTTGATATAAAAGATGGACAAAAAACATTATACCAGCTAAAATTAAAATAAATCACTTAAAAAATCCACCTTTAATGATATTGTTTATAATTTACAAAAACCGTAGAGTTCACTTTTACTGTTCCTAATATATATCAATGAAATTGATATTGATTTATGCAAATAAAAATCAAAAATAATGTGTTTGCCGATAATACCACAGAAGAGGATATGAAGAAAGATATTGAAGCTTTGAATACAGCAATACAAAATACACAAATACAAAATACAAAATGGAAAAAAGATTTGAGTGCATAGTTTATTGCAAATGAACTCCACCTCAATACGTCAAAGACAGAAAAAATGGTTATTAGTCTATTAGTCTGCTCATGTTGTATCTATTTCTAAGAAACCAATTTGCATCCTGCATCACATTCGATATTGAGCATATAAAGTTTGCTTTGATCCCAGAACTTTCACCTGAAGGTCATATTTCTTAATCAAAGTATAATAAACACTAATTGACACCTGACAATTTGATGCCTGTATCACATTCGATTAATGGGCAACACTGTGCCGCCTTAAGAAATTTTCAACTGACCGCCATCACTATAGAATCCATTCTTTTAAGAGCAATGTCAAAATATTTCTTGATAAGTGTTTTTGAACTCATCAGTTAAAGTAACTGATATACATAAAATTACAGACCTTTATTGATAATTGGTAATAATTTACTTCCATTTATTCTTTAGTAATAATCCATGCAGAAACTAATTCGAATTTGCAGATCTAGCAAGATTTATTAAATTAATACTTTTTCCAATTATTGATAAACAGTCAAACTAGTCGAGCTTTATCCAAATTCTACGCATTTAACCCAGCCATATGACATGGCTGGACACAAAATAGAGAATTCAAAATTTGGGTATCAGGCTATTCTTTGACTTAGGAGAAAGCAAAAACATTTCTGTTGGTGATTATGTTTTGAGCAAATTTTATTATCGAAAAAAGAATGCTACCATTTGAACTTGTACTAATGTATCATGCATTAAAAAAGCTGCAGAGTTGGAAATTTTGGAAACTAGAGAAAAACAAAGGAAGTGTGAGTTTCCGACAGTAGATGTATATGAAGCTTAATTAACAAACTAGTTTGTTTCAGTTAGTTACCTTATTCTCTTAAAACATATTTTTTTAGTTTTCATGTGCCAATAAATGGAATGTCATTTAATGCTTTTTATTAGAAATGACGTGTCAATAAATGGTTTTAAAACTACATATTTTATTTATTATTATATATTTTTAACGCTATTCTGCTGTAAAAATTTAGTCAAGAAAACATTTTGCATAACAATTTTCAGAGTAAAAAAATGTGATAAAAGTCTTACCTAAATATACCAATAATTTTTCCCTGTTCAACTAAATAGCTACTTATGTAATATTGATACAGGGATATTCTCCAGATCCAAATAGAATCTTTGCACCACCAAGAAGAGGAATAAGAATAATCGAGAAGTTAACATATAGAGTTGATATAAAGAACACCTTAATAAATTTAGAATTAAAATTGCCTTGCTGATACATATTGGATTATTTAATTAATAAAAAATATAAAAGGACACTTAGGTAATTTCACTCTTTCATAACCCATGTTAATGAAGATATAAACCCTTAAGTTCTCATATTCGAGAAATCTAGATACATTGACCTTTTGTGTATTGTATTGGATTCATTTATTTATTTATTTACCCATAGTATTTACATAAAACCAAACAAAACACAACAAGTACAATATCATTACATGCCCTAAGTTATATTGATGAAATTTAAAAAAATATGTATAATATTCTATTTTATATAATTTTATTACATAGTATGTACAATAGTGCGTAAATAATACTCCCAACATCCAGATCTATTGCAACAAAAATATGTACACTATGGTCATTCAAAAAGAGATTTCCATCTTTCACTGTTATGCCATAAAAAGGATTTACAAGATTGGATATATTTTCTAGAACTTAAACACAAATCCTTGGTTACACAAATAGCAAATATCAGATGTAAAACTTACTTTGAATGCCAAAAACTTCTACTTTAAAATTCCCTCCTAGCAGCAACATTTATTGTTGCCACTATGTGACACAGCACCCAAATATCCTTGTAACTAATTAGAAACTTCACAAGAACAGCAACCAAATTGTTTCTATTCATAGATCTTTAACAACTGCTCCTTGCCGCTAAAATTACCAAAAAGTTTTATTTTTCTACAAACTCATGTTTTGTTCAAAATTATCCCGGTTCCATAAGCACAATAGAGATATCAGCCTGTTTTCAATTGCTTCAAATTTCCATTGGAAATTCTGGCTGCTTTAACACCGTTCACAAGATACAGGACCCAATCCATTCATGGATGGTAGCTGAAAAACAAGGCAAACATGAAGACTATCGAATTTTTTTATTATTACCTGCTAGGTCAAGCTTACATCTTCAATGCAAACCATATCTGGAGGTTTGTTTTAGGTTAAATCGGCAAAATCGTTATAATCAGACAACACTGGTGTTGCTGACATCGCCTTCACTATCCAAAAGACTAACAGATTCTAGCATTTCCTGAATTTACAAGTAAACCTATATATATTGAGGCAAAAATTCTCGACTCTCAAAACGTCCGGAAGTTTACTTTACATAACTGTTCGATAACCTAACAATAATGAATATACAGAGAAAATTGGTTCGTTTTTCATTGGTATAAACGTCGTGTAAATATCTGGCCATGCGCGATTTCTGGTGAAATGATATGTTTATAGAGTTGTGTCAATTGCGATTGATTCGGTCATTTTGATTCAATCACTTCATAGGATAGAACGACCGAATCCCGCATGTCCATAACGATTCGATCACCTTGTTCGCCCTCGCTGCCGCCCTGACCGGTCTGAAGTGACCGAGTACAGGACGATCGATCGACCGACCGTACCCAAACAAATCGAATTCGCCTTGCGGAATACGATTCGAGTAGTTTAAGATCATGCATGACTGAGACTGGCCACGGAAATGAAATGGGAGTACTGTTATAATTATTCTATAGTATTGAGTTGCCACATCTATTGGTAGATTTGCTTATGTGTTGAATCGAATATTGAATGAGATACCTATTTCCACCCAGGTATTTAATTTAAACAATTTAATGTATTACTGGTACAACCCAATACCTTGTACCTATTTTGATAAAATCATGATGCAGTAAAAAGCAGAACACATCTAAATATTACTACTATATTACTATTACTAAAACAGAAAACATAACATATAGACACAACAACAATTTAAATTCAATGAATCTGAATCGGTCGTTCGGATTCAGTGACTACAATATCTAGCTGTGTCTGCTTTTTATTGAATCATGCTTTTATCAAAATAGGTGCTATGTATTGGGTTGTACCAGTAATACATTAATGGCACAACTTGTTATGGAGTATCTAGAAGAAAATGTTATTAAGCACATTCAATTCAATTTACTTTTTTTTTCGATATGTAGACGACATCATAACTGCAGTTCCAAAAAGAAAAACAGACTTATTGCTAAACTCCTTCAATAATTTCCACAAAAAATTACAATTCACACTTGAAATTGAGAACCAAAATACTATTCATAAATTCGTCATAATAAGTCCCGCAGAAAGAGCAATAATGTTATCCGAACCAGAATGTAGACCAGACGCAATTAAAAAAGCAAAACGGGTACTTCTAGAAAATAATGATACCAAAAACATAATTAATAAAATCTTTAGTAAACGTACCAACAAATTTTATAATAACGTAAACAAAAACCAACATCAAAATCCTCAAAGCAAATATATATCACTACCATATATACCTGGATTATCAGAACAACTTCAAACCATTTTCAAGGAACACAAAATTCAAGTAGGACAGAAAACTTATAATTTACAAAAAACATATTTCTTCACTTAACTCAAAGCAAAAATTCCAGTTGAAAAAAGAAGTAATGTAGTATATGAAATTCTATGCTCTAATTGCAACAGTTTGTATATAGGACAAACAAGCCAATATTTATAAAATAGAATTAACGGACATAACTATGACAAAAAAAAATAAAACAGCTCTTCATACCCATTGCGACAACACCAAACACACATTTAATTTTCAAAAAGTTAAAGTCCTACTAACAGAACCTACCACCAAAAAAGGAGAACTTTATGAAAGTATAGAAATCCAACAAACAAATCAATTAATTACAAAACCGAGTCTAAAGGCCTTAACAAAATATATCATTCAATTTTAAACTAACAAAATGAAATTATAAATAAAACTAAAAAACCAAGTAGTTGATAAACGTTATACAACCAAACAGTTGAACTCCTTTTTCACACCATTCTTAACACACATTCACATATTGCACCGACGTTACCAAATCAGGCGCTATTGCCACATAGTTTTGTTAAAATTTGGCGCGAAAAGATAAAATGAATGGTCTATATTTAAAAATACGTATTTTATTTGAAACGAAATCCAAAATGATACGAAGTACACTTCTCTTAGATTTGTCGGAGAGAATAGATTCTACATAACCTCTCAAAAATATATATTTTTTGTGTCATTGCGTATTTTTTTCTTTATATTTAGTTATGAAGACCGATAGGGGTACTGTAATTCAATCTCAATCAAAAAGTGCAACTTTATAATGGGTATGCTTTCGTAATATTTTATTGTTCTACCTATTTCTTTTTCCGTCATATTTGTAGCGCGATACAGCATTAATAGTTGTTTTTTGCTGATCATACAAAAATTACTTCTGAGGAACTTTATTTCAATCATCTTTGTTTTATGACTGATTCCCTCTCAAAAACCCTCATGGAGAATGTCAAAAACCCGAAAAGCCCAACCAACCTCCTAAAGTTCATGAAAATCTCTAGCCTGCCCTCTGGCATTAGCTCGTAATATTAACAAAAAAATGAAATAAAGATTTACACGTGCGCACGCTAGCTGGCGCCACTCAAAAATTAGTTTAAAATTGAAACTAGAACAGTCCATTTTAACAAATCCCAATTACATTTTTCTATTTTTTTAAAGCAAACCGCCACCTCAACAACTCAACCTCACTTTTTATGCTAATAATCGACTGATTATCTTAATAACTGGCCAAAATTTGCCAGTTAACTAAAATCCTGTTTTTATAAGTAATATTGCGTCGGCGGTTAAGGACATAGTTGTTTAAGTACTTGTTAAAAGATTATTTACAAAGGTAAGGCAAACCTACGGATTACGAACTCTCGCGCCAGTCTACGCGAAAGTAGCCCGAGATGAATGGCCTAACGGGAATATTGCCATACTGCGATCAATGTAACAATTGTTTTATTTTATTAATTATAGTGTACAACAACTAAAACACTACTCATTTCTGGTCTAAAGAACCCTGTATAACACATCTCCCGTACCTACAATTTTTACCGTAGTTTTTTTTTTAATTAAAGTGGTATTTATTAATTATAGTGTACAACAACTTAAATATTACTACTCATTTCTGGCGTGCTCCGAAATCGTGATCTTGTTTTCTTGGCGGATGTGACGTCGTTGGGGGGGGCAAGGTCGCTTCATGGGAAGCGCCATCTATTACTTGGTCACTAAACTAATACAAATGGTCTAAAGAACCCTGTATGACACACCAACGGCCACTGATCTAAGTTTTGTCGTAGCCAGTGGCGTTTTATTTGAAAACATTCTTTGATGTTATTTTTCTCTGGTAAACTCGAAGGGGAAGGTTGAGCGAGGTTATCAGTGAATTCTTTATTGAAAATCTATCTTCATCTATCGGTTTGACCATCTAATTTTAAGTTAGATATTGTGTACGTAAGGTAGATAGTGAGATCTGCTTGCCTCGCCCGACATGGGCGACTCCACAGGGGGTTCGGAGCCCCCTAGCACGTCTACCGGAATTAGTATCGGTGTGTCGCCTGCTTGTTCAGCTTCCAAGTGCTTGTCTCCTCTCCTATCTCCATCCTCTATGAGAGTAGCACAGAACATTTCTCGCGTTCAATATTTTGATGTTCCAACACTGGAAGAACTAAAGACGCTTTCAGAAGAGCTTCAAATGATTAAAAATCAATTTTTGGATGACCCAGAGATGACGGTAGAAGTGGCGAAACTAATGGTTAATGTACGAAGAACAGTTAATAGAAAAGTTTCCTACGCGTTAACGGATCAGGGACCATTCATGGTGGTGATGGAAGTAATGGAGGATAAAGTGGGGAATATTCATCCCATGAATATGGGGAAACATTTTCATCAAAATAAAGTGCACAGTATAGTAAGAATCACAAAAAAGGGTATCAACAAGATCGGTATTGAATTTAATAATGCTGATTGTGCAAACAAATTCCTAAATAACTCTATCTATTCAACAGAACATGGCTACAAGAAATACATCCCTCAAAGGCTAGTTACGTGCAGGGGCCTTATCTGGGATTTAGGGGACATAATAAATGCGGACAATTTCTATTCTGAGGCAGAGGCTTGTGTAAAGAAAGAAGGTACCTTGAAAAAAATAAAAATCATCAACGTAAGAAGATTGACCAAAAGGATTAGAATGCAGGCTTTGGATGGGTCAGTTGTTTTCAAATCTGTTCCAGCTAAGAATTATCTAGTGACTTTTGAAGGTAAGACTTTGCCTGAATCAATTATAATTTTTAAAAATGAACGGGTTGTTGATAAATACATCAGCCTTGTAATGATGTGTATCAATTGCTGCCGTTTCGGGCATTGGAAAAACCAATGTAAGCGTAAGGGCCGATGTAGTTTTTGCACCCTGTATTTATGTGTGAGAAAGAGTCAATTTCTTAAAAGAGAAAAATGCCCTGATGATCACCTCAATCCTGACCATATTTGTGTTAGGTTGGAATCTGAGGTACCCCCTAAACCGATATGTATCCATTGTAGTGGTTTCCATCAAGCAGCCTAAGATCAACGAAGCCATGGCTTGGTACAATTTGTCATTCTTTGAAGCTGAGAAACTTTTCCCTCCTGTCTCGAGAAATGTAAATTTTAACAGAATTTCCGAAAACTTCCCCAAACTGTCCCCGATGCAGGCAAGCGTTCCCCCTCTTCGGGAGTCTTCCTCTGATTCAGAAATGGATACTTCCCGAGCGGTCTCTTGGGAAGATTTTTGGTGTCAGTTCCAAGATTTAAAACAAATGTTATTTCTGGATATTCAAGTCATGAATCTTTTAATAAAATAGAAAACCTTCTATATGTGATTTCCGCGAGAGAGAGGGGGTTCCCTTCTATAAACCCTGACCTCTAAGGTTAAATTTCTGTTTCTTAACTAGTTTATTTTTTACTTTTATGAAGATACTTCATTGGAATATATGTAGTTTTAGGCGTAATAAAGATAGTTTAATTCGGCTTATAAGGGACTTCTCTCCTCATATAGTTATAATTAATGAATCCTTTCTTCTACCTCATATTAAAATTAGTCTTCCGGGATTCTCCTTTGTTAGGGAGGATCGTCCAGACTGCTATGGCGGTATTATAGTATTTGTTAGGTATGGGATTAAGTATGGCGTATTAGACGTTTCAGCGATCCAAAGAGTTCAGAGGTGTCAAGTAATTGGAATTACAGTAAATAGTTTTACATTAGTTGCGGTATATAACCCTCCAGATTTACGTGTTTCTAGAAGCATTCTGGACCAACTTTTGGAGTTGAGTAATGGAAGTCCAGTGGTGTTTATTGGGGACTTTAATGCTCATAATTTGGCTTGGGGTTCAAGAATAGCGAGTAGGGTGGGAATTGAAAGTGGTAAGGTTATCCTAGATTTCATTCAAGATAATGGGCTGCTAATTTTAAACGACGGTAATGCAACTAGATTTACCAGAAATGATACACATTCTGTTCCAGATATTGTGTTCTGCTCCTATCAAATTGTTCCCGATTTTGATTTCCAGGTTTTGGGTGGGAGAGGTTTCAGTGATCACTTTCCTATCCTCTGTCAGTTAGGTGATATAATGGAACCTGATAAGTCGTTAAAGTCGTCTGCGACCGGCAACTGTAATTTTAATAAAGCAGATTGGGTCTTATTCTCGAGGCTAGTATTTTCTACAATATCGCTTCTTCTGTTGCAGTCGGCTAGGAAAGCTATTCCGAGCAGAAAGGGGAATCACAAGTTTGGGTTACACTGGTGGGATGAAGAGTGCTCTCGGGTGATCCGTCTTAAGAGGGAGACTTTTAGGGGATATAAAAATAATCCCTCTGATGAGAACTTTATTAATGTGAAAAAGAATTATGCTCTTTGCAGAAGGACTCTTAGAGCTAAAAGAAAAAGTAGTTTAGTAAAATTTTGCGAAAGCTTGTCTCCCTTTAATAGAGTTTCCGAAGTTTGAAAAACGGTCAAGATCTTTGCTAGATCCCTTAATCCTCTTAATAGGCGCTTTAATCTAAATTACACTGTCCCACAGATGTTACTTGACTCTCTTACATCTCCAGTTGAACCAGCTAATAATCTCCCTCCTCCCATATTTTCGGTTAAATTTTCCCCTAGGTTCTCCTTGGACGAGTTTATCTCCACAGTGGAGGGTCGCAAAAGCACTTGTCCTGGAATGGATGGAATTGCATTTCCGCTCCTTAAGCACCTACCTATCGAAGCTGTCGTTTATCTTGTCAACCTTTTTAATTCGGTCCTTAAAAATGCTAGACCTATTCCAGAGAGTTGGAGGACTCAAGTAGTGGTTCCTATTATTAAACCAGGTGGAGATCCTGATATGTTACCTTCATATCGCCCGATTAATCTTGCCTCCTGTATTTGTAAAATTATGGAAATCATGTTAAAGAGGAGAATGGAGTGGGAGCTAGAGCACTATCTGCTACTTTCGAATTCTCAAACCGGATTTCGTCGGGGTAAATTAACTTACGATAATCTTGCCAACTTGAGCAGTAAAATTCTGAGTAATCTTAGTAGTAATATTCCTTGTATCCTGGTTACTCTGGATATAGCGTCTGCTTATGACAATGTTAATATTGACTATCTTTATGTGGCCATGAGTAGTATGGGAATTCCTCAAGATGTCGCGGATACAATAAAAAGGTTGTTATCGGAGAGAAAGCTCGTGGTTAGGGATGCTTCCACTTCATCGTTAGTTGGTCCCTGATCTACATCTAAGGGAGTCCCACAAGGCTCGCCTCTGGCACCCCTTCTCTTTAACATTTATGTCAACCGTATCAACCGTGTATTCCTGCGGAAGTTACTTTACTTCAATATGCCGATGATATCGCCCTTGTTGGGGCAGATCGAGGCTTGTCTCGTTTGAGCTTAGTTCTTAAGCAAGCATTAGATAATGTGGCTAACTTCCTGCACGGCCTGGAATTATCTATTAGCCCTTCTAAGCCAGCAGCGGTAATTATTTCTAAAAGAAAAGTTAGGGTTACTCCTCCATTTATATCTGTTAATGCGGAAAATATCCCGTGGAAAAACTTTACCACCTATTTCGGGGTAGTATTTGATTCTAAACTATCCTGGCTTCCGCAGGTAGAGAGGATGATATCGAAAGCTTCAGCTGGGATGAATATTATGAATATTAGCAAGGACTTGGTAGAGGGCGCATCCGTCTACTCTTATTTCTTTCTGTAAAGCCTTTGTAAGATCTCACTTAGATTATCTGTCATTGCTAAATTAGGACTCTATCTATCAAGGACTTAGAATTGACCTTGGAGTCATGAAATCGACTCCTATTAATGTAATTCTGGCCGAAGCGTGTGAAACTATTTTGGAGGTTAGAAGATCATATCTGGCATCTAAACTTCTCCTTAAGTCGTATAGTGTCATTAATAACCCCCTGTATAATGCGCTTCAGGAACGATATGTACGAATGCAACTTAATTTTAATTTTTTTCGCAATAAGTATGTGCACCCTTTGATTGAGGCATTTGATTTGATTTCACCTTATCTGAGTTACATTGACTCGTATAATGTTTTCCCCTGTTTTCAGGTTGATATTGATTCCCAGATTCTCCCTCTGCATTTTGTAGATTCAGGGTTTTCTAAGAGTTTTCCTAATGAACAGGTTTTTCGGGAGATGTGTGAACAGAACTGGCCCTCAAATTATGCATTTGTTTTTACTGATGCCTCTGAGGGGGATGATAGGGTGGGAATAGGAGTTTATATCCCCCATCTTAACATTAAGTCAGGGTGGGGGTTGAAACGTTTTTTTAATATTTATATGGCTGAAATGGTGGCAATTAAGCCTGCACTTCACTTGATACATACATATAATTTAGTTAGAGCTGTAATAGTCTCTGACTCTAAGAGTGCCCTCCAAAGTCTGAATTCTACAAAGTTCAATGCTAAATCTAGTGGTATATTCCTAGATGTTAAACATAGGCTGAAAGTCCTGGCTCAGAAAGGGTTCCGAATCTCTCTTTGTTGGGCTCCTAGCCACTCCTGTATTAGAAATAATGAAATTGTGGATAGGGTGACCAACCAAGCTAGAGAGAATGTCCTGTTCCTCATTTTACTGAGTTTTTTAGAGTTGTTAAAAATAATCTATGGATTTCCTGGTCTTTAAGATGGAGAAGAATGGGTTCCTACAAAGGTAGGATTTATACCAGCTTCCACGAGAATCCTCCGGTCAAACCCTGGTCTCATGGATTGAAGCTCACCAGAAATTACTACAAGGTGCAGATTAAGAAGTAATTACTGCTGTTATCCGGTACACCTATGCAGAATAAACGTAAAGGCAACTAATTTATGTGAATGCGGAGAAGTAGGAGACCTTAATCACATATTTTTTGATTGTGTGAAGCATCGGAACTATTCTGAATCCCTTTATAGAGACCTGATTAATTCTCATGTTCCCTCTCCTATACTATGGCAGGTTATAATAAACAAATTCGGTAAAGTCTTCATGTTTGCTTGTTTTTCAGCTAGTCCATGAATAGATTCGGTCCAATGTATATTTGAAGCAATTGGAAACAGGATTTTTCTATTATCTATTTGTGGAAATTGGGTAATTTTGAACAAAACATGATTTTCTAGAAAAACAAAACATTTTGGCAATTTTAGCTGCAAGGAGCAGTTGTTAAAGCGCTATGAATAGAAACCTTCCAGTTGCTGTTTTTCTGAAGTTTCTAATTAGTTACAAGGATGACATATTTTGGGTGCTGTGTGACATAATGCTGCTAGGAGGGAATTTTAAAGTAAAAGTTTTTGGCATTCAAAGTAAGTTTTACACCTGATATTTGGGATTTGTATCAAGGATTTGTGTTTAAGTTCATGTTTAGTACTTTGGCACAGCATACAACTTGGTTATCTTATAAAGCGCTTAAAAGACGAGTTGAAAGAGTATTAGTGTGTCATCAAGTTTGGTGCCGTTCCTACCACGTTCACCAAGAAGGAATTGCAAGGCCATTTAAACAAATTTTCAAATAAGTTTCTGTTAGTTCTTATCAGGCACATGGAAATTTTCATACCACCAGAAGGTGCATGTTATTGTGAAATTTTGAAAAAAGAAAATAATAGGGAAAAAATTCGTTTTTGATATTTTAAAACTTCACAAAACTGCAAAAATGAATCATTTACATTTCTTGACAAACTTTTGTCGCCGAACTAATCATAATATTAGAAAAACTTCAATAACATTTACATATAATATAAATTTTTAATTACTTTTTTTACAGTTGTATAAAAGTTTAACTTCTTATTTTTTACAGTTGCTTTCATAACATTGAGGTTGTCTCAAAGGTGTTAAAAGTTTTTTTTTAAATTTGTTTGAATTGTAACTTCAAAATAAGGTTGTTGTACCTAAATTGCAAGATTTTTTAAATAATTTGAGTTTTGTCACAACTTCATCTAATATTAATTTTTTTATTACATAAGTATTTAATATACATTAGCCAAATTTACAGTAGAGTGTAACAATAGACCCTATTTTATATCCCAATTATAAAAAAGTTGCCATCTGATGAAGGGGGACCAAAAATGTATCCTGTTCTGTTCTAATAATAAATTTAAGTTTTTATCACTTGATTAATTAAAATTAACCGCCATATTTTTTAAATTACTTTTCGCGTTTTCCCAGAACAAGTGAAATTATGATTTTTGATATTTAAATGAATGTTTTATAATTGCCTATGGTCATCATGAGAGATCACACTAGTAAACTAAAATAGACTGTTATTGCTGTTTAATTACAGGTACTAATATTCAATTAAATTACAGCTATCCTATTATCCATTATTCAAATTTGTATACGTAAATACGTAAAATATACAATACAATACACAAAATAAACAGGTACATCAATATGCAATGGTTTAAAAATCAATGTAATTAATCTTACTGTTTAAAAGAATCTTTCACAGAATAGCAAGATTTTTTAATTAAGAACGTTTTTATTTTTAATTTGAAAGCCTGTAAATCTATTTGTTTAATATTATTTGGAAGCTAATTGAAGAATTTTAGAGTAAAATAATTTATGCTATACCTAGATTTCTCGAATCTGAGAACTTCAGGGTTTATATCTTTATTAACATGGGTAATATAAGAGTGAAATTGCCTTGTGTTCTTTTATATATTTTTTTAATTAAGCAATCCAATATGTATCAGCAAGGTCTTGTAAATTCTCAATTTATTGAAGTGTTCTTTACATCAACTCTATATGTTAACCTCTATTATTCTTATTGCTCTTCTTTGTGGTGCAAAAATTGTATTCGCATCTGGAGAATGTCCCCATATCAATATTACATAAGTAGCTATTGACTCGACCAGGGACAAATTATTGATATATTTAGATAAGACTTTTTTTTATCACATTTTTTAACTCTGAGAATTGTTATGCTAAAGGTTTTCTTAACTACAATTTTACAGCAGAATAGCGTTAAAAAGATATAATAATAAATTAAAAAAAACATTTTAAAAACCATTTATTGACGCATCATTTCTAATAGAAACCATTAATTACATTTCATTTATTGACACATGAAAACTAAAAAATATGTATGAAACAAATTAGTTTACTAATTAAACTTCCTATACATCTACTGTCAGAAACTCATACTTCTGTCTTTCTCTAGTTTCCAAAATTTCAGGAGTAGGCAGTACTCCAACATTGCAGCTTTTTTAATGCATGATACATTAGTTCAACTTCAAATGGTAGCGTTCTTTTTTCCATAATAACATCTGCTCAAAACATTATCACCAACAGAAATGTTTTTGCTTTCTCCTAAGTCAAAGAATATTTGATCATTTGCTTCTCAGATAATATCTGCATTCTCTCGACTGTCACCAATGCCTATGCAATTTTCTTCGTCTTCTGAACTCTCTGACGAAACTTTTGTTTATGAAGCCTGTTAACCAAATCTTGAATTCTCCATTTTGTGTGACTTAGATACGGCCATATCAAGTGGCTGGATTAAATAAGTAGAATTGGACTTGTTTCACGGTGTGTCAATAATTGGAAAAAGTGTTATTTTAATAAAGCAATAATTAATTCACAAGTGGCCAAAAATTTTGCTAGATCAGCAAATTCGAATTAGTTTCTGTATGGATTATTACTAAAGAATAAATGTAAGTAAAATTGTACGTCAATTACCAAGGAATGTATGTAATTCTATGTATATCACTTACTTTAACTGATGGGTTAAGAAACACTTCATGTCAATAAATATTTTGACCTTGCTCTCATAACAGTGGATTCTATAATGATGGCGGTCGGTTGAAAATTTATTAATGTGGCACGGTGTTGCCAATTCGTCGAATGTGATACAGGCAGCAAATTGGTTTCTTAAAAATAGACAAATCCTGTCCAGGTGCGGGTTGTTTACATTAGTGTTTTTTATATATTTAATAAAAAATTTGACCTTTAAATGAAAGTTTCGGGATCAAAGCAAACTTCAAAAACCTTATATGCTCAATATCAAATGTGATGCAGGCAGCAAATTCTTAAAAATAAACAAATCATGAGCAGACTAATAGACTAATAACCATTTTTTCTGTCTTTGACATATTAAGATGAAGCCCATTTGCAATAAACCACTGATGCACTCAAATCTGATAAGTACTTTCCCATTGCTGTACCCAAAGCTTCAATAACTTTCTTCATATCCACTTCTGTGTTATCATTGGCAAACACATTATTTTTGATTTTTGTTTGCATAAATCAATATTAATTTCATTGATATATATATATATATATATATATATATATATATATATATATATATATATATATATATATATATATATATATATATATATATATATATATATATATATATATATATATATATATATATATATATTAAGATCCGTAAAAGTGAGAGCACTGAACATTATGGTTTTTGGAAATGATAAATAACATCATTAAAGCGGGATTTTTTATTTAATTTATTTTACTTTTAACTGATATAATGTTTTTGGACCCTCTTTTATATCAACTTACGGTATGGTCAGATGCGGGCTCTTTAAACTTTGGACCAATGACGTGGCTTAAGCTAGACGACGCTCATGCATTGTCATCGCAATTTTGAAATGCCAATTTTGAACAGGTGGATTGAAAGACATGACTTTTATAATTGGTCCTTCAGATCCCTGGACAACTCGGAACATCTTTTTATGGTTTACAACACCCTTCCAGCCAACCACACCGGATAAATGCATATTAGAGACTAGTTTAACACTGTAACCTCACAAATGTTGTCCAGTGTCAGCACTAGTTTCAAAAAAATAATGTGGATGGTCGCCATATCAAAAAATTTATTACGTAAGTAAACGTTTTTCTTCCATTTCATCTTACCTTTAGTTTGTTTTCATTAGGTAATTATCGTTAGAGCGTGGATAATGAAAATAAAATTTTTAAAAACCTAACCTTAAAAATATTTATAAACAACCACAAAATAACATATAACATAAAAAGGTACCAAAAAATTTGATAAATTTCACATATCACTAGAGATCAATGATCTATCGGACAAAAATTTTCAGACGACTTTTGCCCGATGAATATTTGTATAGTACAATCTTAGAGAAAATACGGCAGAGATGAATAAAAAGCATTTTTTGAAAAACTCTGTCTCGGCCGCGGCATCACTGAAACGAATGTTCGCATTTCTTTGAAATATCAGTTCTGCTAGGTAACTGAGTTTTTTTGATTTTAAGATTTTATCCAACTGACAGCCCTTATTAACATAGGTGAGCTAAGTTATGCTCGAAAAATTGTTTAACCTGATGGTGGATTCTTAACATACTGAACACAAGCATTCTGCGCCTTCTTTACTCTATATTCATTAAAATTTGCACCCTATGCGATATTAAAATAAGTTAGTATAGACAGTACCAAACATTCAATAAGCTATCTTAAATTCCTGAAATAGTTTTAAATTTTAATATGATTTTTTACATATCCCATTCCCATGTGAATGAAAAATTTTTTGTCCATGTACAACTCGAGATTCTTGACACTATTAACAAATACTCTCGATTTCTTCAGTGTGGGTTGTTGATGAATCGAACTTGCTAACGTTTCGTCGCTTATCCTGTTGGCTTCTTCAGAGCTTAATTGAAACAGTTGCAAAAAAAATTATAAATTAGCTAGTGGAAGTTTCGATAAATGATTAACAGCCCAGATTCTTGATTAATGTTATTTTTGAAATATTGGTCCTGTATGAATGTTGTTTTCTTCCTGAAGGAGAAGTGGAGCGATGGAGTAGCGAGCACCTCTCAATATGTTGCCATGGAATGATAATGCTTTACAATAACAAAAAAGTAAGTAAAAATCTTTATGCCATAATTATTATTATCCATGTTTGTTTATTTGTCATTGTTTATTGTAGTCATAAAATATTTAAAATTTTCTTATGATCCAGTAAACATACATTACGGCAGAACTATACAAAATACCATTCTAACACCGTTGGATAGGTAATTAATTAAATTAAATAAATATGTAATTTTATTTTAATTAATTTAATTAATTAAACTTCTTTATCATATTAGAATATATTTTTGGCCATCTCATTGGAAGATGGGAAGTTTTTTCTCTAAGCTGAACTATAAAATATGGTTGTGTTTATACTTGACTGTAGGTTTTGCTTACATACTTCTGCATTTCCGAAATTGAAATTAGTTTACATTTTGACAAAATTTAAATTGAGCCTGTTAAAAGCAATATCTCCGGATTATCATAAAAACATTGCATTGCATGAACAATGCACTGGAATAAGTGCATTTTTAAATGACAAATTACAGGGTCTTAAACATATGCTTAGGTTTAAAACAGTTTAAAATATGTTAAAAATACTTAAATTAGACAAGCGTTTTTTTGTCATTTTCTTTATGAATTTGATATAGCGAAGAAAAATTCTAAACAAACTTGTTATCTTACATATTATTTATTTATGGATTATAGGAACATAACATAACTTGGAAAACTTAAATTTTTACAACTCTGCTATGGTGAGAGGAGCCTTTCTATGTTGGCTGACGATGCAATACCTGTATGAAGTTATTCAGCAAGTTCCATTGCTGTCGTACTTATATGTTTAATAGAAAGCCACCATTCCATGCCAGTTTCTAGTTGCTCTTGACTGAGTTTATTTCCTGTATAACGAAGAGTAAGCAAATTTGCCAAACAATGAGCTGGGGTCAAAGCCATTTTCATATGCTCCTTGACTTGATTCGTGTCACTTACCGTACTTTGTCTAAAGCAACTGCCATATACTTAAAAGTTTTTAAATGGTCTTGGGCATTTGTCTTTAAATTGGTGTCGTTTAGAAGCTTTATTATAACTTTATGAATACTTATTCTGTTGAGCGAGCAAACGTCGAATAACATTGGCCAGTTTATCAAATAACTTTCTAAGCAGTCTGATAAAGTACGGCAATGAACATCCTGAGGCAATACAAGAACACAACCACCAGCTTCTCTGAATTTTGCGCTGGCAATATTTAAATTTTTTTTTTATATTACTCTTTATTCCTGCCATTTCTATATCATGAACAATTATGTTCAATATATGTTCTCAACATCCATAAGTTATAATTTTTATAATATCTTTTCTCTTTAATTCTTCAAAAAAGTCAAAATCTTGGTTTTAACTGAACATTAGTCGTTGAAATAGTTTTAAATAGGTTTTTTCTTGAATATGGTAGACAATGATTTAATAGGAATGCTGAGATTGTCGAACTTATTCTTTTTGTTTTCACTAAGTTTCGGTCAGATGTATCACCACCCCTTATCAAGTGCAGACGTGTTAAGTTAGATAAGTTAATTATTTTTTAAAACTTTTTTTGACTGTTGATGTCTTACCTACATGTTTATTAAACTTTTAGTATCTATTATTATCAAGTATATTAGGTGAATAATCAGCTTCAATATTTCGAGGTGTTAGACCGAAATATTTATTTTATTCTATTATCTTGTTGACGTTTCGCCAACCACCCGGTTGGCTTTTTCAGAGGTTAACTCGGTTAGTACATAATAGTAGTAACTCAATAGCTCGGAAGAAGCTTAACTCAGTTAAGTTCTGAAGAAACCAATAGGTTGATTGGCGAATCGTCAGCAAGTTCGATTCATTCAGAATTCACAAGAGTTGTAAATAACTCTAACTAAAAAAAAAATTTCCAGTGTACAGCTACTGATCAGAATGTTGTGAATCACTAATGTTTTCTATGCTCTGCTTGGCACTTCTTAGCACTCAAATTTGTGCGATAACTTAATGGAGCAATGTAACTAGAAAAAAATTTTCCTATTTTTTTAATTATTATTACAGCATAAAATAATATATTTTGAACGAGTTTTGCCATTTATAAATTCCTAAAAACAATAACATGGCTTCTGTGAAAAGGAAGGATTTTCGCACGTATTTGATTATTAAATTTCCAAAACCATGGTAATTTTGGAAGCTATGCTTTTCTGATCTACTTTTATATGAACTTATGAGTGAATGTGCAGCCGAAAATCTGGGCATGTTTTTTGAAACACCCTGTATAGTTTACCAGATTTACCTCTTTTCCCTCTTTACGCAATTTTTATTGTTATTACTGTTATAAGGTTATTAAATTCAATATAATACATTAGTACAAATAAAGTCTTATAAAAAAACTCCCCCTAAATTGTAGATCATAAAGTTATTTATAGGTAATTCATGTAAGTCATTGGAAAAAAGCTGACATGTCGAACAATACTTTTTGCTTGTATACAGATAAAAAAAATTGATTTGTCGCTAAATTTCCTTTTGTTAATTTTGACATTATTTTTTAAATTAAGGTTACAGTTGGTATGCAGCTTTAACCAAAATATGCCGACCGATTTTGTCAAAGTGACTTTATTAGGAAACAAACCAAGAAGTTTGATGATCTAAGAACAGTTACTACCCGGCACGTTTTTCTGTTTTCTTTGGTTTTTGTTTACTTGGATTTTTAAAAATGTATTTGGCCTTTTTGTTGCTGTTCGTAGAAAAAGTATAGTATGCAACAAATTATTTGTGATAGAATATGCTGATGACTACAAGAAATGCTAGCTTCAGCACTCCCAGTATATGCGACGCGACGTTCGTATAAGAACGTTATAAATATGTCTACATTGTACTTTGTAGGAAAATTCTCCTCCGCGTCATCTGGACGATTTGATCGCGAAACGTGGGTTTCAACCCGTAGACTCGACTCCAAAATGAACCAGTGATAGACTGACAAACCTAAAACCTAGTTCTACTGAGGGCAAAGAAGGCAAGAAATCATCCTCGCAAGCAGCGGTACGCAAGGAAGATTCCAATAGGAAGAGAAATCAAGGTTAGTGCCCAAAAGTTCTTTTCTGGTTAGGACGGTGGAAATAATTTTAGGATTCTTAGTTTTAAGTTCAATTTGAAGAAATTTCAAGATCAATTAAATTTATGAATGAAAATAATTAAGTGCATTCTTTACTTGTTTAAAGACGTTTATTACAGGATTACCAGGACAATTGCAAAGTATTATAAGACTTAATATTATATATTATAAGACTTGAAAATCCAAATTATTAAAGAGGAAAATTTTCGATATACACAAAATGTACAACCGGTTCGCCACACAAAAAAATTTCAAAAGAACAATCACCATAACCAAAATTTTAGAATTAGGCAAGATCAAAATCAGTTTACTCCTCAAACTAATAATTTTTACAGAGGTCCACTGACGCATACTAGTCAACCACGCGAAGTTCCAAGAAATTTTCCTACAAATCGGCAAGGTTTTTGGCCCACCTAAAAACGTATTTAAACCGACAGGTCAGGTACCTAACAACTTAACTAACACGTTCGGTAAACTTTTCAAGTTACTCGTTAGTAATAATAATCAAATTGCTTTATTTGCAGCAGGTATAGACTTAATTACAAAAATACTTAAAACAAAACAAAACAATAAATGGCGGCTCACTAATTATGTTGAATGCCTGATCAAAAACGAAAATTGTTTAGTTATAATAAAAAAAGCGAAAATTTAATTATCCTTGTACAGTAAATATCGCACTGGTCAGCATTATGAACAATTTGATCTTCTGAGACATACTGAGTAATATGGACAAGCGTAATAGTGGTGGATCTCTGCATCCTGAGGTAAAGTGATATATCAAGAAATTATTTAGGCTGAAATATTTAATTTATCGATGTTTGAGATACTTATCGTGTATATTTACCAAATTAACTGTGTTTGCAGTCAGGCAAAACCCGACCATTCTTTCTATATCGGCAGATTTGATTCCAGACATATACATAGGTGAGTATAAATATTTGTAAATAACTCAATAAAAATCAATATCCAAGAAATCGTTTTGTATTGACTACCCTTTGTTTACCATCAATTGTTCAATGAAAATGGATATTTTTTCGTTTTAGTTATTTGGTTACTTATCCACTACTTCCACCTTGCAATATCCTTTTACAGCTTGGTAGAAAGGCCCCCCCGATTTGTCGTGCGTTGTGCAGATCAGGTTTGAACGCAATGCGAAACCCAGAGGTCTATTGCTTAAATTTTAGAATTAGAAGAAGAATTAGAATTAGAATTTAGAACTCGTGTTTGGAATACACGTGAATATTCTTTCCCTCCAGCAACCATTTTTTACGCCGTTTTCTCTTTTCCACAATATTTGTTTTCTTATCTTCATCTGCCAACAAAACGCAACTGCGAAAAGCAGTAGCTTTTTCTTTTTGAAATTGTACAAGATTCGCATTAAAGGATTTAAAGGATACTGAACTTCGGCGAATAGAAGAAATTTTAGTCCTTTGATTGAGGCTCTACAAAGAAGTCCCGCAGTTAAAATGGCAGCATTGACGAGTCCGTTAGCGATCCAAGTGCGCGTAAAATTCGTCGAATCCTGCAGAAGACTGCTCCGACTACGAGTGCAGGATGCCGTTGCCTGAACTGAGTAGGGTAACATCAAGAGGACATCCCCAGAAGTAGTCGAGCTTCCTTCATGGACAACGAAAACAGTAAAAATTTAATGATATATAATATGAAATTCGCAAAGGAAGAGACATCGGTGTGCAACATCATACACACAATAAATTGCCATGGGTTGAAAATACTGAACGATAGCCAAATTCAAAAAGTATCCATTCAACAATACCAGATACGTTACTTCCCGAATATCCAGATCATCTCCAGGGCACTAGATGATCAATGGAATCGTAACTTGATGGGGCACTTGCAGGGAAGATTTCATTGACACATGATAACATCAAATGTCTTTAGAGTTAAGTTGAATTCCATTTCTTCATTCTGCTTTCATCGTTTTCTTTTTGTACAATATTTTAAAGAGTGTTTTGCCGATGAATATGTTTTGGAATGGTCTTACAACAAATGTCTAAAAGTAAAGATTGCAAGGTTTGTGTCAATAAACCGTCTGAGATATCTGAACATTTCTTAACAAAAATAAGTGTTTTTACTTTTGGGTGGTTATGATTCTTCGGGTCGGATTATTCAGGCTTGCTGCCATCAGATTGAGAGTCTGCCTAACCAAAAGGAGCTTAAAATATATATTAAAAAATCTGTTTTGGGTCGGCCGTTTAAGTAGGTGCTAACAGAATGATGATTTTTTTATTTGACTAGCTAGCACCACCTTGTTCTCTCGCTTGTCGTCATTTTTAAGGAAATTTTATTGTGCCTCTCTTCGCTTTAACAAATTTTATTCGATTTTCACACCCCCAGATTGAATGAATCAAATCAACAGTAAAACTATTAGCTATAGGAAAGAACAACTAGTCATTGGCATCAAGATCTGAATGCACAATAACCTGGGGAGTCACTATTGGTATGTGTGACTTAGGATTGTCCTGTCGAAGAAAAATTGTAAAATATAGCGAACTTTCTTCAGCGGTGTTACAATACACGGGCCGGCATAATATTATGAAGTTCAACGTTTAAATACATAAGGAGTTCCTGGTAATTGTCTGCCTCAACAGTCTCCTCAAAGAAATACGGGCCAAGGAGACCGCCGGCTTGAATTCCAACCCTCATTTTTATTGCAGGCAGATTCAACCCTTTGCGCAATGAACTCATAGGAGTTCTCAGATGCCCAGTAAACGCAATTGGTTAATCCGTCCATTTAATTTTAATTGTGCTTCATAAGCTCCATAGAATCTTTTTATAGAATTGTGCGTCATCTTCAGCTCGCAAAATTTCAGTCTACGATCAGGATCTTCTTTCGTTACCGCATGTACCAAACGAAGACGATAACACCTGATATTTCAGTTTTTTTAACATGCTAGGGTAAGCTAGGTTCCGATATGCCTAACTGAAGTGCTGTGCGAACTGCAGACTGGTTGGGTGTCTCTACATTCGTTTGGGCAACGGGATGCATGTTTTCTGTACTTACTTTTCACTACAGTTACAGGGCGACCACTACGCGGGGCATCTAACATTTTCCCATTTTCTTGAAACTTCTTGTTTAACTGTATATCATCTGTCTACTGGGAACTGGCCTGTTAGGAAACTGCACCTCAAAATTCATCGAAGATTGTCTCGTAATCGCTGATAAGAGTCGCCAGAAAGATCCGTTCTTCATGACTCTACTGAAGTACGTGCTGCCGTGGGGAACCAGCAACAAACAATCGTAAACTGGCTATACTAGCACTGCTTGCTGATCACCTTGTTCGGCCGCGCAGTGAGCGCAAACCTATCTAAAGTGTGGCACTTTGGCTCTAGCATTTACAAATCTAATCTAATATATCTAATATCTTCTTGGTTTGGCATCGGGTTTGGGGCTGTAGACTGTCGTCTCCATCTCCATGTTGTTGGGAAGTGTTCCAGTCGCATTGTGGCGTTATGATGTTTGTTAATCGGCTGTCCTATGATGGTTTCATGTGTCCTTTGGGCGTCTGTACCTCCTCTCTGGGTCGTGCGGGCGAGAGTTGAAAGAGTCTTGGATGATGGCCGAGCTGGAGTCGGAGGCTTTCCTGAAGAACCTTGATTTGGCCGATGTGAGGTATTCTGTGATCTCGGGGACGACCAGGTCGCGCCGTATTAGTGCGTTTCTAACGAACCACAGGGCGTCCGCGTTTCATTCCCGACCTTGACCCTGAAAGCCCTGTTTTGCAGGAAACTACCGAGGAGTTGCACTGGGATCCCGTTGGCGTACAGTTTGTACAGCAGTCCTTCATGCCATATCCGATCGAAGGCCTTCGAAATGTCCAAGAAAGCAGCGGCGACGTACTGCTTCTTGTTGAAGGCCTCCAGGATGTTCTCTGACAAGCGGACTGCTTGCAATCTGGTCGATTTTTCGGCTCTGAAACCGAACTGTTAATCTGGGATCATATTCTGTACTTGTGGGAGTTCTTCCAGCCGTGCTAAGATGATTCGCTCTGTAACTTTTCCCAGGTTGAAGAGAAGGCTAGTTTGCGGGGTCCGTCTTGGTTTTGCCCGCTTTGTGTATTATAATGATTCTTGCTTGTCTCCATGTTGTTGGGAAGTGTTCCAGTCGCATTGTGGCGTTTATGATGTTTGTTAGATCGGCTGTCTGCTTCCTCGGTAGCCTTTTCAGGGCGTCGTTCGGGATTTGGTCTCTTCCAGGCGCTTTTCTCGGTTTGGTTCGGTTGGGAGGCGGTCCTGCTGCAGTAGTGTGTCATAGTCAGCTTCCAGGCTGGGCCGTCTTTCATGGTGATGTTGACTTGCAGCGCCTCTAGTTTGTTGAGCGTCGGTTGTGCTGTCACTGAGTGGGCTATTGAAGCTTTCACCAGGACAGCGACACCTCCTCCACGACCGGTGACTCTGTCGTTTCAGTACGCACAGTAATCTGGGATGTACCACTAGCCTGCTGGCTTCAAGAATGTTTCCTGCAGGAGCACTACGTCGACGTCGTGCTCCCGCAGAGTTTCCGTCAGCTCGTGGTTTTTGTTTCGAATGCAGTTGGCGTCCCACGCCAGAACCGTGAGGTTGTTTGGCTTTAGGCTTCTAGCCATTCAGCGGTGTCGCGGGGAGGTTAATCGGAGCTCGGTCTTTCCAGCCTGGGCGATCAATTGTGCCATATGCTGGAAGATTTCCGCGGACATGACGGCAGGCATCGCCAGTGTTGGGGTCGTCTGTGGTTGAGGCTCATTTAACGCTCTGGCAAACGTGCGATTCGAATTGACGATCGTTGCTAGTCGATGGGTGGAGGGTACTGGTGGTGTCGGAATTCTTGGGGCAGGTCTGCACGGACAGACTGGCATTTGCTGTATGCTCGCTCCGGCAATTGGCGCAACGGCCTGGGGTGGTCTTTGGCTTCTTGCACTGCTCTGCTCTGTGCCCTCTACCGCATTTAACACACTTCGGCGGGGCAGTGCATTTGCTGGCAATTGTGGCATTGTGGCTGGTTCCTTTGCCTCATCGGTTCGATTTTTACTCGAAGTCTGTATATATATTGTACCTCGTAGACCCCTTTATCTTCGCGCGGTAGTACCACCATTGTGATTTTTTTTTGTCTCGCCCAGTTTTGTCATCCGGGCGGTTTTAATTGGGTTGAAGCCCATCTGCTTTAATTTGGAGATGACTACCTCTGTATCCCATTTTTCAGGGATTCCCTTACCACGCGGAGATTCCGTTTCTCCTTTAGTTGGAACCTGTGGTACGGGACCTTCTTGTTATCTAGGAACCTTGTGATGGCTTTGTAGTAGTCTGCGCTTGCTGGTAGTATTTTTATGCCTTCCGGGGTATTTCTGGCTGAGATATACCTCATGTTGTTGGCCTTGAGGGAGCCGGAGGGTCGGACCCAGTTGTCCGTTTGGTGGATTATAATGGGAGGTGCATGTTCCTTCTTCGGCTCTGTCGTTTTCTGGCTCTTTGGTCCTACTGTGATCCATTCATCGGAGTCATCTGTTTGGCTTGCGCTGGCCAGGTTGGCGGTGGGCGGAGCGTGCTTGGGCGGGAACGTTCAAATTCGGCTGCGGTCGGTACCGCGGTCGGCCGGACGGTGTCGTACTCGTTTGATGCAGCCGGGCGTGACAGCTGCGTGGCCGCGGACGGGCGGTTGACCGCATGGGCGTTGGTTGCCTCGGCGGTGTTCGGCTTCGTCTCGGTTGACTTCGTTTGGGCGTTGGCCGGCAACGCGTCGGAAGCGTTGCGTGTCAGGCGTGGCACGTTTATTTTCGGCGTGTACGGCGTGGGGCCAGATGTCGTCTTTTTGGTTGCCATGGCCAGGAAGTCTTCTTTTGGGCGCAGAATTTTTCCGTTTTCGGGGCGCTTCGGCCTCTTGAGATTCCATGGCCTCGGGCGCGTCGTTAGTTTGTTTATTTAGGGCTAGACTCACCGTAGCCTGGTTTGCGACCATCTTATTGATCACTTTCGGCACTGCACTAACACACAATAATGCATTTTACCACAAACTACAACAATTTTACGTACTCAAACTCAATTTTAACGCGCGCGTCGAGTACGTAAAATTGAGTTTCGGTTTGTGCTAAAGCGCGTTATTGTGTGCATCTTATTGATGGTTTCGGTGAGGCTATCGATTTTGCGCTGCAGGCTTTCATTGAGAGCTTGCGACGCTTCGTATTTCCGGAGCAAGTTGTCAAATTTCTCATGTAGCGCACGTTTCTCGTCCGCCATTTTTTTGGAGGTCGGGCCTTTGTCTGGAATATTCTCGTCGATCGATTCTCCGTCGGAGGATGGACCGGAGCCGGAGCTTTCCGATTCTTGGAGTTTGCGGATTTCCGCCGCGTTCATTTTCGCAACACGTGTACTTATCGGACTGATTTCTCTCGCAAAGCGGGAAAATATAAAATTGGCAGCGAATGGTAATTTCGCTTCCACTTAAGCCGCTAGACTGGAACGGTACACTATAACGTCTCACAATAACACAAAGACACTAGGCACAGGGAAAAACGCAGCACCTTCTCTCACTTTCCTCTCGACTATCCCATTTGCAACAATTTTTCTTACAGTTTCTTAGACTTCGGAACTTTGGTCATGACTTGTTTTTATTGCTCCTACTTCCACTTCTGAATTTCTTATAAAATTGTAAACATTCAAAACGATTTGTTTAGAATCCGAAGACAAATTGATACGTTTTTTTATTTGCTGAGGTAGTTCATCTTCTAAATTGTCATTAGTTTCGACTACCATCTCCACTGCGTGTTCAAATTCTGCATTTTTTCCATGTCTTCTAACAGGGGAACATCTGCTTCATTCCACGGTCTCAACATTTGTTGTGGAGTGTTGA